GGCCACCGTATCTAATGGTTGGAATGTTTGGGATGTCAGGTACTTCCCCAGCCCTGGGTAGATCTCTGGGTGGTATCAGCTAATGGTTTTTCCTGGATCTGGGTGTTGCCTGCCAGTAAGCCACAGAAGCTATGTCTAGGCCCCTAAGCCTGTCATGGCTGCTGTGTGGTCAAGCTGTTTTGGGGCCCCTCCACAAGTGCACACTTTGAGTTCTTTGAGCAACTGGAGAATAAGGCCTATTTCTAGATCCAGGTAATGTAGTAAGATTTTTAAAAGTAGGGCTGGAAGGATGGCTCACTGGTTAAGAGCACTGGCTACTCTTCTAGAGGACCTGGGTTCAATTCCCAGCACCCACATGGCAGTTCACAACTATCTTTAACTCCAGATCAGGGGATCTGACACCCTCATACAGACATACATTGCAAGCAAAACACCAATGCACATAAAATAAGAATAAGTAAATCATTAAAAAATGTTTTAAAATTTTTTTAAAAAGTAATCCTCCAAACCAGGCAGTGGTGACACATGCCTTTAATCCTAGCACCTGGGGAGGCAGAGTCAGGCGGATCTCTGTGAGTTCCAGGACAGGCTTCAAATCTACATAGAGAAACCTTGTCTTGAAAACCCCACCACCCCAAAAAAAGTAATCTTCCAATATTCTCAACTAATGAGCATTTTAACATATATTAAAATATAGCTTATGTTCCACCAAAAGATCAAAATGTCACGTGCAACCTAATAACAATATTACTGAGTTGGATATTAGGCATATCAGCATTTTGATGAGAGTCTCACTTGATTTTCACAACAGCTCTGTGAAGGAGACCTGTCCCCTTTTATATTGGGAAAACTTAGGCTCAGTCTGAACCCTGGCTTCTGGGCTCAGCCCAACTTTTTTTTTCTCCTGTACCCTCACTTGCCTTTGCTTCTGACCTCTGCTCCTAAAATCCCGTCAGAGTGAAAGGTCGCTGGGGGTTGGTGGCGCACGTCTTTCATCCCAGCACTTGGGTCGCAGAGGCAGGCGAATCTCTGATTTTGAGGCCAGTCTGGCCTATATAGTAAATTCTTGGCCAGCCAGGGTTGCACAGTGAGACCCTGTCTCCAAAAAAAAAAAAAAAAGGCCTTTACCTACTGTGAATTACTTTATAGGGAAGGGGCATCTCACCAGGGCTCCCAGACTTCCTCTTCTTCATAGCCTTTTATGCTCTGCCCTTCAGGCATCTACGGAATTCTAGTCACGCGGGAGCTTTCGTGATAGTGACCGAAGAAGCGATTGCCAAGGGGATCCGGAGGATCGTCGCTGTCACGGGCGCTGAAGCACAGAAGGTGAGGTCAGGTGTGGCCCTGCCTGTCAGCGGAAGCTGCCACTGCACAGGACCCAGCTGTCGGTGTCTCATCTTTCACATCTTGGGCTCAGTACATAATGGCACTTGCCACAAAGACGGACAGCCTGAGTTTGTCGCCAGGGACCCACATAAAGTGTGAGGAGAGAACTGGCCCATGAAGTTGTTAACTTTGACTCCCACGTGGGTACCCTGCACACACATCACACCCAAGATAATAATAGAAACTTCCCAAAACAAACAGCATCGTGGGAAACAGAATATATAACCTGGGGCTTCCTCCTGGCACAGCCATGTGTGGGAAGGCAAGGCAGAGTTCTCCTGCTGCTTCATCACCCTTCCCTCTGCACGTAGCCCACGCAGCCCACCTAACGTAAGGAACGTGGCACAGAAGACCATCGTTCTGTGCTGGAAACTCTAGCGTGACCTGAGGAACCGTCATTTCACCTGGTTACCTGTGGACCTGAGTTACAGTGTAGCTACAGTGTAGTGTGTGTGTGTGTGTGTGTGTGTGTGTGTGTGTGTGTGTGTGTGTGTGTGTTGTGTGTGTGTGTGTGTGTGTTGTGTGTGTGTGTGTGTCTGTGTCTGTGTCTGTGTCTGTGTCTGTGTCCAGAGCACTTGCTTCCTGAAGGAAAGACACCCCTGGTGTTTACATCTCTAATTGTTCTCTTCCCAGGCCCTCAGGAAGGCAGAGAGCTTGAAGAAATCTCTCTCTGTCCTGGAGGCCAAAGTGAAGGCCCAGACCGCACCCAACAAGGATGTGCAGAGGGAAATTGCCGACCTTGGCGAGGTAGGGATGGCCTCCCTCTGCTTCTGGGTCTGTGCGACCCTTATCAAGCCTGAGGAGTAAGACCGTCCTGTGCTTGAACTTTTTGTTCTTTTAATTGTGCTTTTTTGAGACAGAGTCTTCCTCTGTAGCCCAGACTAGCCTGGAACACACTATATAGCTCAGGCTGGCCTCGGATTTGCAGCTGTCCCCTGGCCTTACCATCTCCCTGCAAGCATGAGTCACGTGCTGGGCGGGGGAGGCGGGGTGTCAGGCTTCTTGTTGATGTTTGAGAAAGGATGTCACTGTTCGACTCATGCTGCCCTTGAACTGTGTGCAGCACAATGGCGGCTATTTCTTGGTATGCTAAGCTTCCAGCGAGTCTTTGCAGGCTGTGTTCACAGCTAGGTCTCAACTTAAGAGCTAAGCCCTCTTTATAATGCCACTTCTCTCCAGCCCTGTTGTGATGGCTGCTACATTCACAGAGTGACTGGTCTTTTTAAATTTATTTTATTATGTATGCAGTGTTCTGCCTGCATGTATGCCTGCAGGCCAGAAGAGGGCACCAGATATCACTATAGATGGTTGTGAGCCACCATGTGGTTGCTGGGAATTGAACTCAGGACCTCTGGAAGAGCAACCAGTGCTCTTAACCTCTGAGCCATCTCTCCAGCCCCCGAGTGACTAGTCTTAAACCAGCAGATAATCTTTGTGGTTTTCTCAGACACTGGCCATGGAAAACTTTGGTTCAAAGACAGATGGGTGGGATAGAGTGGGCTTGAATTCCCCCCTCCCTCCTAGTAGCAAAGACCTGGACAGACTTCTGTTCTGGTTCCAGGCCCTGGCTACTGCAGTCATCCCCCAGTGGCAGAAGGATGAACAACGAGAAACTCTGAAATCCCTGAAGAAGGTCATGGATGACCTGGACCGAGCCAGCAAAGCTGACGTCCAGAAGCGAGTAAGTCTCGGCAGTGTCGGCAGCTGGAAGAGGGGCCAGAGGTCTTCCTGGGCAGAGGCTCACACGGTTTAGTCTGGGCTCTTGGCCTAAGCCTCTCTCCTGGGCTTCTTGTAGGTGTTAGAGAAGACAAAGCAGCTGATTGACAGCAACCCCAACCAGCCCCTGGTCATCCTGGAGATGGAGAGCGGCGCCTCGGCCAAGGCAAGCAGGGGCGGGGCCAGGGCTGCCCTGCTGTGTGTATTGTCAGCTCTGTGTGTCCCCTCCAGCCTTGTCAGACAGTTCTGAGGCCCATTGCCTAGTCCTGAGGTTAGGCTGAGCCATGAGAGATCTGGTAGCCTGAGGAAGAAGGAGCGCCTGAGGAGAGAGTTTGGCCAGGGTCCTGCCTTTGGCCTTTGCGTGGGCTCCTGGAGACAGCATCTGCTCTTGGAAATGGGGTGGTGCTCTGGGGGCCTACTCCACAGACTCCCGTGTAGAAAATAGGGCTCCCTGCCCCATTGTATGACCTGACATGAAGTTCTCCCCACAGGCCCTGAATGAAGCTTTGAAGCTTTTCAAGACGCATTCTCCTCAGACATCTGCCATGCTGTTCACAGTGGACAATGAGGCTGGCAAGATCACGTGCCTGTGTCAGGTTCCCCAGGTAAGAACTTCCTACAGCCCGCATACTCCAGCAAAAGCCTGCGGCCAGCCTGCAATCCCAGGACACAGGAGACAGAGGCTGGAGGATCTCTGAGTTTGAGGCCAGCCTGGTCTACAGAGTGAGTTCCAGGACAGAGGAACCCTGTCTCAAAAAAAAAAAAAAAAAAAGCCTGCAAACCCCTATGCCAGTGGGAAGCATTGTCTGTAGCTTCTCAGAGAGGGGTTCTTCATAGTATTTGTCAAGACTCTGTGTGTCTGTCTGTCTGTCTGTCTGTCTGTGCATTCCTCATGAGAAAGTGCTGATTTTCTTCTTCCGTGTGTTACTTCCTTCAGTACTTTTACCCCTCAGGCCTTCTTGTTGGTAGATGTATGAACTACTGGCTGATGCCTGGCCTGGTTTTTTGTTCCCCTCGACCGTGGCCGGAGCTGCTCCCCTGTACCAGCTGTCGAGTCAGTCTCGGCCTCTGGTAGCATCACCCAGGATACCAGTGGGTCTGGGTGGCTCCCTCCTTGTGGTGTCTGTCCCTCTGTCCCACCTCAATCTCCTCTCCTCTTCTGACCATCTCCCCTTCCTGTCTTCTAGAACGCAGCCAACCGAGGCCTCAAAGCCAGCGAGTGGGTACAGCAGGTTTCGGGCCTGATGGATGGAAAAGGTGGTGGCAAGGATGTGTCTGCCCAGGCCACGGGCAAGAACGTGGGCTGCCTTCAGGAAGCATTGCAGCTGGCGACGTCCTTTGCCCAGCTCCGCCTGGGAGATGTGAAGAACTGACGGGAGGGAAGCCCTCACTGGGACACACGTCCCCGTCAACCAGATGTGTCAGAATGCAGGAGTCCACCCAGGAGCTCTCCTGCCGCGAAGACATTTGAGTCTTGGGACCTTTCAGTAGCCCTATCCGTCCTAATCCGGCAGTAACTGGACCACACCTGGAGCTGCCCTGTGATCCATCGCCCCTCTCCGTTACTGCTCTGAGCCATACCGGTCAGCGCCATCTGTGTAGCGTCACTACCCAGGAATGCTGTTTAACATCATCACGATCATGTCTAGGTAACGTCAATGCTGCCAGCCTGAGGCTTCTAGGTCTGCGGGTAGGGAGCCTTTTTGCTGCAGAAAATAAAAAGGACCATGTGCAATACTTGATGCATGCATTCTACTTTTCTCCTGGGGTGGACCCTGGCTCCCTGTGTACCTGCAGAATACAGGCTGCAGTTCCAGCTGGTTTCTGATTGAAGCTATCACAGAACACATCCCTAGACCCCTGAACTTTAGGAGTGGCCCCTAGGATGGCAGAGGCAGAATGGATGGGCTGAAATTGAGGCATTCAATATAGTGGGGGAAATTTCTTCAAGTGGGGAAGCACCTTTCTCAGTCTATTGGGACAACCTCTTAATGACTTGGGCCATGTATGTCCCGTCTCTGCCTCCCTTTGAAGTTGTTGATACGAGGTCAGATGACTGATGTAGGAAGCATAAGCATGGAGGTGTCTCCCAGTAACTGTCTATCCCTGCTTCTTAACCTAAAGTAGTCAAGGCCCTGACCTGGTCATAAAATGCAATTTGTCTGAGTCTACAAACAGCGGGGTCTGGAAGCAGTAGTGTGTGGGAAGTAGAGACACTCCCTGCTTATGCAAGTTCCTCAGAGTGTTAGAAATATATGTATGTATATATGCATATATAAATACACACGCACACATATATGTATATGTATATGTATATATATATACACAACCACATATATATGTTATATTCAGTGTAGGAAGAGAGATTTCCATTAATTTATTAAACAAGTATTGAAGCAAGCTGGGGACTGAGTACAGGAGTGAGCAAAAAATCCTTACCTTGGGCAAGTTTACGTAAAACAGTCTGAATGCAAAATTCAAGGAATTAACCTTAACAGGTTAGAGCCATAAAACCAGCCCGGGTCCTAGGCCAAGTCCAGCTGTACCTCCTCCACTCCGCTAGGAGGCAGTGCGGCCACCCACCGCTCTCCCGATAGGCCTCGCGCGGGCGCGCACGTTTAAGTGGACGGAAGTGCCGGTGCGCAAGGTAGCTCAGCAGGCGGAAGCGGCTCGTCCGCCGGTAGCCGCCATGCCGGGAGACCACCGCCGCATCCGCGGGCCGGAGGAGTCCCAGCCGCCGCAGCTGTACGCGGCCGGCGAGGACGAGACGCCGGCTGCCCGCGACCCGACGCGGCTACGACCGGTGTACGCGCGCGCCGGGCTGCTGAGCCAGGCCAAGGGCTCGGCCTACCTGGAGGCGGGAGGCACCAAGGTGCTGTGCGCCGTGTCGGG